TTCCTCTCATCTTTCTCTCTCATCTTCCTTCCTTTTTCATCTTCCTTTCTTCCTTCATCTTCCTTCCTCTTTCTCATCTTCCTTTTTCTCATATTTCCTTTTTCATCTTCCTTTCTCATCTTCCTTCTTTCTTCTTCCTTCCTCATCTTCCTTCCTTTTTCTCATTTTTTTCTCAACTTCTTTCCTTTTACTCATCTTTCCTTCCTTTTTCATCTTCCTTTCTTCCTTCCTCTCATCTTTCTTTCTCATCTTCCTTCCTTCCTCATCTTCCTCTTTCTTATCTTCCTTCCTTCCTCTTCCTTCCTAATCTTCCTTCCTCTTCTCCTCTTCCTTTTTCTCATCTCTCCTTCCTTTTTCATCTCCCTTCCTCCTTTCCTGCCTCTCTTCTCCTCTTCCTCCCTTCCTTCCTCCTGCTCAACAAGTAGGTTTGGTCAGAGCTTTCAGCTGGACCTGGCCAGTGGCAAGCCCATTCTCCACCACCAAGGTTGGAGGACATTTTTCCTGGACTGCTCGGCCACGATGAGCCACACGACCAGTAACCACGGACAAGGACTCCCTTGAACCCACTTCCTTGACTGACCCGTGCCTTATTGAGAAAAATATATATATATGCTAGTAACGAAGGAAGCAAACCCACGGGCTGCGTTAACGGAGTCCATGAGCGGGAAAATCTTGACTCTTCTCCATGGGCCTGTCTTACCAGAGGCTGCCCCAGAAGAACAACCCAATGCTTCAGTCTTAACGACCGCTGGGGCCTGCCTGGTTATCGTCCAAGTGTCCATGCAACATCCTTCTCTTGCCCGGGATCGAACCACAATTCCCATTGATAGGTGTAGCTGCTTCTAGCCAAGATTCAGCGTAGCCTCATTCCGAGGGGCAACGTCCCACGTTAACGGTGCTTTCTATCCCCCTCCCTCCACCCAGCTCTGCCCCACTCCCGCCTCGGTTCAGCCACGCACACTGACACAAGAGAGCTTTCTCCCGCACCCTTGGACGAGGGCACCGATGCCCGAGAGTGGGTGAAGGAGGTGGGAGAGGCGAACCCCAACTGTTGCGAAGACAAATGAGGGTGACGTCCATCCATCGGTGGCTCTTTGGGAGGGGTTTAGCAGCCCCGTAGGGAAGGCAGGAGCAATGGGAGGGAGGGAATAGCTTGTGTGTTTGTTCCTCGCTGGAAATGCTAAGCAGCTGGTACGAATTGGGGACCAGAAGGAGGGGCCAAATTAGAAGGATTTGGGGGGGGGCACAGGGGCAGAAAGAGGCAGGGCTTTAAGATGGGACAATTCTCTTCTACGGAGGGTCTTCTTCCAGATGAAGCAAGGGGGGGGGGAATGTACTTTTAAGGCATCAAGAGACAGAGAAGGTTGTATGGATGTGGGGCACCCAGTAATCTCCCTTGTAGCATGTGGGGCCTCATAGCAGCAAAGATAGCATGGGGCTCGTATTCCGGAGCCCCAGGGGACCCCCCCCCNATATTCGGAGAGTGAAAAGGTTGGGGAGGAACATGGGCCGGTCCTGGAGACTGGGGAAGGCTCTGATGAGGGCTCTGTGTCGGAGGCAGAGAGGGGGCCAGGGCCGTCTGACAGTTCTCAGCTGCCTTCAGAGTCAGACATCAGTGAGGCAGAAGAACAGCTGGAGCCTGTTCCCAGTGTGAGTTGCCAGACGAAGGGAACAGCTAAAGAACAGGGGTCGACACTTGGGAGTAAGGCCACAGGTGGACAAAGAATGGCCCCTCTCAGAGGACATTAAAAAGGAGCAAAAGGGGAGTGGAGTTTGCAGGAGACCATTAGTTCGCTTCATTGGTTCGTGAGTCTCCAAGACTCCGTGCCAAACTTTTGCAGATACCGGCCTGGCAGCTCTCCAAGCCAGATAAGGTCTGTGACCGTAAATCCTCCTTTGAAAGACTTGGCTGGAGGTGAATGAGCAGAATTCACAGTCTTTTTTTTTTTGTCGAGTTTGCTTCATGCTCTTGGGAAGCCAAGGTCAGAACACTCCTGCTAAGCTCAATTGTTTCATTTAGCGTCTGGTTAAGCAAAGAACATCTGGCGGGGGGAAGGAACTTGCGAATGAAGCAGTATCGAAGTTTCGAGAGCTGGACCGATCTGGTTTTTTCCCCTCCTAGGGTTGCATCACCTACCTGACCGATAAGGTGAAATCTCCGGGGTTGCTTTTACTCGGCCGGGCCAAAAAGCTCCCATGGATACCCCTGGTTAGCAGCAGCTTCTCTGCTTCAATCCCGCTGATATTTGGATGGAACCACCTGGAGGGAGGGAGGGATGGTGGGTGGGTGAGGGGGCGTGGGAAGTGGAGGGGGGAAGCAAAAGAGAAACAAGAACACCTCACTATTAATAAGATGGGCAGCTGGGCTTATTCACTTCATCCCTGTTTGGGATCTTAGAGGTCTTCTAGTCCAACCCTACTTAGGATTTTAGCGTTTAACTACTCCAATCCCGTTGTAGGAGATGACCAGGCTGAGTCCGAGGGAGGAGTCAAACGCGTCATCAATCATGAATCCCATCGCACCCGCAAAAGTTCTAAGCCCAACCCACTGTGAGTTCTTTATCTGCCGCCAAATTGCTTTGACTGTCAGTAGTTCGGATTCTTGTAGAGAGCTTAAGCATCCAGTAAATCTTTATACCCATTTGAACTGTCTTGTATCTCCTGATTTCCCTGGCGCTTGACATCCATTCTGGATTTTAGCAGTCATCTAGTCCAGCCCCGTCCCTGGATTTTAGAGGTCATCTAGTCCAACCCCATTTCAGATCTTAAATTTCATTTAGTCCAGACCCCGTTTTGGATCTTAAATGTCAGTAGACCAACCCCATTTTGGTGGCTAGAGGTCATTTAGCCCAACCCCATTTCAGATCTTAAATGTCATTCAGTCCCACCCATTTTGGATCTTAGAGGTCATCTATCCTGACCCCATTTCGTGCTAGAATTCCAAACGATCTCCAACAGCCATTTGAACACCCCCCCCCCTCCGAAACTCCTCATTAATTTTCATTTACGGACTGTTTTCCTTGTAACGAGTCCCGATTTCACGCTCCTTATGTGAATTATCCACCGAAACTTTTTGGCTGAATGAAGCTGAGCCACCTATGCCATTTGCCTTCCTGGCTTCTGGACTCTGAGACCAAGCAGCCCCGGGGGTGTGTGTGTGTGTTGTTGCCTCCCCCCCCCCAAACTGCAGGCCAGTTTTGGATCAAATGCGACCGAGCAGCCCTTCGGTTCAATTTTGGTGGGTTGGCTACGCTTTTAATCCCTGCCCACAAGCGGCCACAATATTTGCTGGCTGGCACGGAAGAAAAGGAACATCTATCAAATATATTTAATAATTAACCAGGGCTTCCCAAGAGATATTTAACTAAATTTTATCTCCATCAAGTAGCCTGACAATATGAGAGGAGAGAGAGAGAACCCAGGGAGAATAGAAATAGCCATAGGCAGCATTTTAAGGCCATTAGCGGAGTAAAAAGAACCTGGCTTGAAGGCACACACACACACACACACACACACACACAAACACACAAACAGACAAATTGTGTCTTAACAATTAGACAAGAACTCAACCAAAATAGTAATTATTTTTCTTTTTAAAGGGAGGGGAGGATGGAGAACCACTTATTAGGCCTTTATAGGCCCATGTTTCCCCACCTCAGCTTTTGAGAGAGGTGGACTTCAATTCCCACAATTCCCTGGGCAGCGTGCCAGGGAATTCTGGGAGTGGAAGTCCACATGGCATCTAACTCTAGTTGAGAGATCTCAAGTGCTCCGGCAGTCAACCTTAGCGGGATTGGATGGAAGGAAGCAAAGAGGGAGGGAAGGAAGGAGGGAGGGAAGGAAGGAGGGCAGGAAAAGAGAGGGGGAAGGGAAATGAAAGCAAGGGATGGAAAGGAAGAAGAGAAAGAAGGGAAGGGAAAAGTCAAGAAAGGGAAAGAGAGACAGAGGGAGGAAGGAAT